CGCGACGTGACGACCAACATATGGGGTACGATGATAGGTCACCCTTGAAGTGATTTAGAGGACGAGGCCGAGGTGGTGGCCGAGCGGTATAAAGAGTGCAATACATGCAATACCTACTTCTCACGTGTGGGGCCTGCCCATGCTATCGCCCAAACCATGCTCTCCTAAATATAGAGGCCACGCCGTCCACCAAGGGGTATATAAGGTCATCCAAGCTGACCTTCCCTCTCACTCACTCACTCACTCAGCTCACACCTTCAACGGTCCGGCCCCTTGGCGGGCTGGTCATTACTGACCTGACTTCCCGCACCGCCAGTTATCCTATTTCTTGTGTTGCTATAAACAGTGCTTGTAAGTCTTAGCAATAAAGAGAACAGCCACACCGAGTTTCCCTGTACACCATAAACCAAGAGCTCTTAGTAAACTCTTATAGTATATGACGAACTTCCACTGCCAAAGCACCACTTCACAAGCCTCGTGAAGTCGTGTGTGGACTTCGGCTTCTTCGAATTCGCTGTGGAGGAGTACCAACAAATCAGCGGCCTCGCCATGGAGTCCCCTCTGAGTGTAGTCCTGGCCTGCCTCTTCATGGAGATGCTGGAAAGGGATATAATCGGCAGGCACTCAACTTGGCTTCGTTACATAGATGATGTCCTCGTCATTGTCCCCAGAAGGTCGAGTCTGCACCATACGCTGACGCGGCTGAACTCCGTCCACGAGAAAATCCAGTTCACCGTGGAGGAAGAATTGGATCAGAAGTTACCTTTCCTGGACACTGATCCATCAGGGTGATGAAGACCTACGTTTCTCTGTATACAGGAAGCCGACTAATAAAGATGATTACATCCATTATTACTCTGCACACAGCAATAAAACGAAATCTGGGGTTGTAATTGGGTTCTTCCTCCAGGCACTGAGGATTTGCAGCCCTGAGTTCCTTGTAAGTGAAGTTACCTATGTAATTGATTCTTTCATGAAACACAAATACTACAAAGGTCTCCTGCTGAACCTCAGAAAGAAGACGGAGAACATACTTTCAAGATCCAACCCTGTGATGTCTTCCAATTTTCTCGTATTACCTCCATGTAATCTCTCTCCCAGGCAATCAGCAAATACTTTGGCAATACTATGAACATCGCCAGCACATCTGGGGAAAAGATACATGACCTAATACAAAAAAGAAACAACAGAAAAGCAACACCGACAGTGCAGTATACCGCATACCCTGCAGCAGTTGCAATAAGGCATACTATGGTGAAACTAGACTTGGCTTCAACACCAGGATCTACGAACATCGCGCCGACGTCTGTCACCATAGAACTTCCAACGCCATGGTGGTTCATGTAGATGAAGCTGGACATCTACCGAACTGGAAAGAAGCTGAAATAATCCATGAAGGAGTAAGCAAATACAAAAGGAAGGTCATGACGGCTGCATATATCACGACAGAGAAAAATGTGAACACATCGGGTAGATTCAAACCATCCAAGGTCGCGGCAGCAATTATGCGTACGAGCACGAGGTCACGGTCATCAGGTGATTCATCAGCTCCTATGTAATATAAATATACTGTGTATTCTCCCAAATGTAAGCCTCCAGGATAGTACAGTGGTAACGTGTCGGCCTCTCATCCAAGGGGTCAGTGGTTCGCGCCACGCCCAGGCGCGAGAAGTTGCAATTGTCGCCCGGGGGTTACTGCTGTGGCTGGCA